GTTCACACCGCCCACTTCTTATGACAATGGCTTCACACTGGAAAATGACTTAGTTGTCTGAAAACTTAATAGTCATTAACCGCATGATATAAGATCCAACAAAAGTCATTCACTCTGGGCTGTCTTAATATAAAAAGGGAAGGAAGAAGAAAGTAGGTAAGAACATTGAGTCACTTACTATGTGACCTTAAATAAGATACTTAATCACTCTGAACCTTAGTTTCTGCATATGTAAGACACATACTACAGTTATTATGAACATTACATCAGATAATAAAGGTGATGTATACAACAATGTGCCTGCTCCATTGTAAGTGCTCCATGATTAATAGCTGTTATTATTTTATTAAGTATTTCTGAAGCCCACAAAAACATGCTACTCCTCAGCTTTGTTGCTTAAACCCCACACGGACTATCATTAGTTTTGAGATTTGCAAATAAATGTTCTGAGATAGGGGATTGGGGGTTAGAACTTGAGAACATATCAGATGAGAATCAGATGCACGAACCAGAAATACTAAAAGAGTGATCACTAACAGAGTGATCTAACACTCTGAACTGGGGTGGACATCCTGCTATGTGCTCTCATATGTCCCCATAATAACTTCATTACTTTTTGCAGTAACTGTGATTTAATGTCTAAGCTTATAACACAGGGGGGGCAGGCACTGTGTCTGTCCGGCTCACCGCACATCCCTAAGAGTCTCAGTGAGTATGTGCTAGATGAATGGGATGGAGAGCTGGTTGGAAGGGACACAGAGAAGAGCTGGGAGTTTTCAACCCTTTTCAGACCTCACTGTCCAAATCAGGGCAAGCACTCAGTCTCCCTTTCCCCCATTCCCAACCATTTCTAGAATTCCCTGAGAGGTGAGCAGAGTCAGGGAGTGCAACGCACTGGAAAGGCATTGGGCATTGGCTGCAGCCCTCCCTTAACTGTCTCCTCCTGATAAATTTCTTAGGGAAAAAATATTCCTGGGGACTTCTGGAAATCCGACTCTCAGACATCCTGGAATGAAGGCTTGGACAGCGGGTCTGTGTCAGAATGCAGCTCAATACAATTCAACAAGCATTTTTGACACCCAGCATGTGCCAGGCACTCTGTTAAATGGTGTTCTATATACAGTTTCTCTTCTTAATAAATGCTTACTTTTATGCACATAGTCTAAAAGCTAACTGGTGCTAAAAAGTCATGAACGAGGCAAGGACTCCTGTACCTCCATCCCTCCCAAACCCATTCTACTTCTCATAGGCGACTCCTTCAACTCTTTTGGCTCTTTATTTTGGGATTTACCTCCACATTTCTTGATAATTATGTGTATTCTACTCTCTGGAATCATCGATTTTAGACACTACCTACTGACTTCCTCTTATGGTAAGTGAGGATTTTCGCTTTATTCACACGTCTCTTCTCACCTCCACCCTTTCACTACAGTTATAAACAATTTTTGATGCAGTCTATATTGGAGCTTTTTATTATTATGACCACGTAAATATTGTCCACTGCCAAGTTAACAATTGTTTCATTTTCCACTTGAATTTACAGCTATGTCTTCCCACCCCCACCAACCGCTATAAAACAACTCTCAGCACAATTTTCTACACGGTCAACTCTGTCAGGATAATCTGGCTTTTTTCTCCAGCCCCTAGGGCCCACTGTAGACATACCTCCTTAGGTCTCCAGCTTCCTGCTGGACGGGTGGTAGTGGCTTCCCAGGCTCTGCCACATGGTTTTGAGCTGAGACCTTCCTCTTTTATCACCACAGATGCCTCCTTAGCCTCCCTCCTGCTCACGTTCCATTGGATACTTGCTTCCCACATTCTGTGCCTTTTTCGGCTTATCTACTTGTCTTAGTGGAGAACATCCTCCCTTAATTTGTTGACAAAGGGGCAAAGAGGTAACATTTTTGAGATTTGCATGTCTGAAAACACCTCCATTCTACGTTTACAGATAAAAATTGAGTTTTAAAATTCTAGGTCAAAGATCATTTCTGATCTAAGTAATGGCAGCTTTGTCCTGGGATCTTCTAAGTTCACCATATTACTGTTGAGAAATCTGATCCCGTTCTGATTCTTGCACATTTGTATGTGAGCGGGCTTTTCTGAAATGAGACTCCTACCTTTATTCCTGATATTCTAAAATTTTACAGTGATATGCCTGGGGGGGTTAGATCTTTTTAATTCATTTTGCTGAACACTGGTCTGGGCCATTATATCCGGGAAATTTTCTTGTGCTTTTCTGCTAATACTACCTTCCCCTTTATCTTCACTATTCTGCCTAGAACTCTTGTTAGCCAGATATCTGGTGTCCTGGATTGATCCTCTCATTTTCTCTTGTTTTATCTCCTATAATCCATCCCTGTGCCTTTTTTTAGTTCTCTTTTCCATGAGATCTCTCTGATGTTAGCTTCCAACTTTCTTTGCTAAAAAATATCAACTATCACTGCTTTAATTTCAAAAGCACTTTCTTGTTCTGATTTTTAAAAATAAGTATACAGCATATTGTCTTATTTTCTAAATGTACTATCTTATCTCCCCAAGAATATTATGGTCTGTCTCTTTTTTGGTTCCTTTTTACCTTTGTTTTGATCCATTTCTTTCTTGTTGGGGATTGCCTATTCCTATTAAGACTCAGGTCTTTTGGAAGCCTGGGTGGCTCAGTCGGTTAAGCGTCTGACTCCTGATTTTGGCTCAGGTCATGATCTCACAGTCATGAGATCAAGCCCTGCGTCAGGCTCTGTGATGGGCACAGAGCCTGCTTAAGATTCTCTCTCTCCCCCTCTCTCTCTCTGTCCCTCCCCCACTTGTGCATGCTCTCATTAATTAATTAAAACACTCAGGTCGTTAAAAGTTGATTTGCAGCTTTTGTGATGGACATAATCATAGGATAATTTTTATTGGTGCCTTCAAGTGTTTTTGGGTCAGTTCAGCTTCTCCAGAGGATCTCCCAAACCCTTGCCTCTTGGTTAAAATCTAGGTGCTGGCATTAGGTGGGTATGTATATTCTGCTTAATCCCCATTTTAAATCTGGACTCTCAATTCCACAATCCTTATGCATGGCGTCCAAGTTTCCCCAGAAAAAATGCCTCCTGTCTGCTATACATGCTATCCATGGCCCCTCGCTTTGTGTGGTCAAGATAGAACCTACTTTCTGCATCATATCCTCGCTTTCAACCCTCTCCAGCCCACCTTTCACGGTGTCCAGTACCGGACTCCTACTGAGACCTTCAGGGCTCTGCAGAAGAAAATCGTTTGCTTCTTGTTGATCAGTGTCCTTCAGTGGGCATCTCAAGATGATCTTCCCCTGTTCCACTGAGGTATTTACTATTCCTCTATCCCATTTCTGCTTCCGTATATAGTGGATGGGATTGCTGGCTTCTCCTAGTTTCACTGAGAATGGAGTTCATATGGGTTTTCTTGTTCTTGCTATTTAGGGGGCGATTTCAAGAGAAGAGGGACAGAAACATCTTCACTCCACCATTGTAAAATCACATGTCTGCATTAAGTAGACATAAATCTATATTAAGTCTACATTCTCTTTTAATCCCCACAACTATTCACATAGCCATTCATAGAGCTGAGGTTTAGAGAAGTTAAATTCTCCGCCCAAGGTCAATGTCGGAAAGTGGCTTAGAACCCAGGTCTCGCCAAAGGCAAATCAGTGCTTTTTCTCTTACTCTCTTCTATCTCCAAACACCCTAAGATCAAGAGAGGGTGGTAAATGATGGTCCCACTTGTGGTTAATACCTGGAGATACAATGCCAAGAAGCCCTTCAGAAAAGGGGTCCTGAGTTTGTCAGAACTCCTTGGCAACTAGTGTCTTTCAGAGTTCATGGCAAATCTAGACTGTTAGCCAAAGGAAAAAAATATATATACTAAAAATAGTGTCCAGCCTTGGGGAAAGGGGCTAATGAACTCAGAAGGAATCCAAGACTCAGGCCACAGAAAAGGGAGGGGGCCTAAGTCCTAAGAGAACTTAGAAGATAAATTGATTTCCAGGTTCCCAACAGGAAAGGCTAGTGAGGCTAATGGTGTCACCCTGTAAGGTCAAGAGTCATGCTCTTGTAAGCACGGGGCCAAGGCTGCCCCAAGACATCGGTGACTTCCAGACCCTGACCTGTCATTGCTGTCAGGATCGGGCTCAGCCAGGGTGGGGTTGAGCTTTCAGGTAACTAATAAGATTGGTAATAGAGTAACTTATAACTGATACTGTTGGCCTGTCTCATACGTGCATAGCTCATTTTTTTTTTTTTGACCCAAGAGTAGGTCCCTAAATTAACTCCCTTTAATGTCATCTTGTTAGAGTTTTCTAAAGGATGATCCAGGGGTTCCATTTCACAGACCATCCCTGATCAGGGATGGCCCCCTGAACCACCATGGGGAAAATGATGGTGTGGCTTTTGTCAGGTCGAGGGGAACCGCTGCTTAGCGATGCCACCTGCCATGGGTATGGGGGAGTTTAGTATGTGTGCTATTGCCAGATGAGACCATCATCTCTTCCCAGAACTGTGTCCTCCACATGTGTGGTCAGGATGCTCTCAACACCCTTATTCAAGTCACTGATAAAAGCTGATCGAGACAGATCAAAGGGCAGTGCCATCAGGATCAGTTTTGTCATTGGCCTGGGGCTTGGCATTGATAGACAATCTCTGGATATAGTCCGTCACATTTAGGATTATTTTTGGAATTGATTTCCAGATCAAATTTCCCCATCTTGTGTCCAAGAGAGACTTTTTCTGTAAAACAGCCACCTGAGCAGAGTGTCCTTCTTTTATGTCCACTCCTGAGATACATCAGTTGGGATGTTGAGAAGTGAGTGGGTCACCGAAGAGAAGAGTAAGCCCTTCAGTTTATGATCCCTGGGCTCCTGTATTTAGACAGCAGCACTTTGAGGACTCCGGCCTGTGGTTTCTTGTCATGTTCTGGGTGAACGCTGTGTCTCGTGCGTGGGAGAAATGAGCAGTGGAGAGAACACAGAACATCACAAAAATAAACAGGCACACTCCATTTCAAGCAGCTCTCACTTTTATCATAAAATACAAACGTTCTAAAATTAAGTGTCTTATTTCTATTTTACCAACAACAACAAAAACAAAAAATCACTCATGTCAGCTAAATACAGGTGCATAGATGGCTGAGCAGGTGAGTGTGAATAGGAGGGAGGTGCATGTGTGGCGGGTGGTGTGTGTGAGGGGGGCTATGTGTGTGAGAGAGCTGGTCAACAGATGAGTCTGGTCTTGCTGTTTTCTGTCTATGACCTGGTCGGAGCCTTGGCTTCTCCAACTTCATGCCACGCTGCTATTACAGAATCCAGAATTCCAGAGTCCTTAGCCCTGATCCAAGGGCTAAGGTAGGAGGGGGGAGAAGAGAAGACCATCTAAAAATTTATGCCATTCCCACTGGAGGAAAAATAGGGGCTATTCATCAAGGGCCCACCAGCCGTCGAGCCAAACCTGGAAGAGAGAGAATACAGCATCATGATGAAACTCCTGATGTTAGCAGAGATATTAGAAAAAGTAATACATTAATTTTGTGGCTGTCAAGGACTGGGTAGATCATGACAGGCTTGAAGGCTAAACGCGTTAGCATAAAAAAAAAAAAAGCTTTGGCTCTGGGAAAATAAAATATTAAAATGATCCAATTGGAGGGCAATATAGAGCTTCTTCTGCCACTTCCTTAAGGCAAGGAGCCCCTGGCAGCCTGTAAGGGACTGCCTCTCTGGGGCCAGTGCTCCCCCAATCTCCAGGACCACACAGCAGGGAGCCTCTCCGGATCTGAGCACCCTACCTGTGGGCCTAAAGCCATTCTACCTGCCTTAGAGGACCCAGGTGTGTCCTTCAGGAATGCCACCACACCACGGAACTCAGGGCCACGTCCCAGTGGGAGACCCCGGAGTCTAGACCGTCCCAGGGCTCCCTGACCCCTTATCAACACCAAACAAAATCAGGCTTTCCGTTTCAACACCAGTGCGAGGAATAAGCACTGAGACGTCACTGAGTGCCTGGGACTTAGTGCTTAGACCAGCAGGGAAGGAAAAGCCAAGAGTATTTGAGCCTCACCTTCCAAGCGCAGACCACTTTTTCTCCCCGGCACCACACTCCCGTTCATACTTCAAAAGAGAGTTCAGAAGCCATCTCCTCCGTGACCCCTTCCCTGACCTCTCCAGATGGAATCATTTACTCACACTTCTGGGATCCTACAGCAATTTTTTCACCCATCTGCTAGGATACTTGGAATGAATGGGAACGGAGATCAGTACAAATCGCAGCGGAACAAATGGCTAGATTTAGTCTAATCCAGGGATTCTCGGTCCCTTTTCAGCTGGGCAGATGCATATTACAGAAGACGTTCACGTTCACCACACCCTCCCATGAATTAATGAAAGGAGAAGAGGGAGGGGGTGGGGGAGGGAAGAAGGAATGGGAACAAGCCACCGCATTAATTTGTAATGCCTCAGCTGGTATCCAGATCTCTCGCTCACAGTGTCATGGGCAAGCAAGGCTTTGGGTTAGTTAGATTCCCCTTTCATTAAATAAATTCCAGGAGAGCAGGGACCTTATCTGGACTATTTGCCACTTTATGCCCAGGGCCCAGCCCACGACCTGGCACAAGGGAGATGCCTCATAAACAATTATGCTGGCTCTAACCCCCCTAACCCCACCCTTTTTTCTCTCTTCAAAAAATCACATTGGAAAAGAAATGATGGAAAGTGATATTATAGGGATACACTGGATTCCACTCTGATTTACAAAAAAGATCACACATAGCCCGTACTTCAGCATTTCATAATTACTGGTAACAAATTACTCAGGACACACCTCATATCGGATTGCCACGCCCCGTGAATCTAGGCCACCCAGGCTGGGAACTTTCGATGGGTTCAATTGTCAAGGGCATGGTTTGGACAGGACGTTCATTAGAGAGCCAGGAGGAGAGGTAATCCCCATGGACTAGAGTGATCCAGGAGTGATTCCTGGAGGAAGAGGAGGAGCTTGAACTACCTTGCACATGGCCAATTGTCCTGGTTTGCCTGCAACAGTCTCTACACTGGCATTTCCAGTGTGATTATTCTTTGTGCTCCTTTTAACTCTCAAACTTATTGTTGTTTGGAAGATAAACCGTGTGGTTATCCTACCCCAATGAATGCATGCAAACTGATGTGGCAAAGGGAGGGGGCCGCTCGGCTCCTCCTTCCCTGACAGCCACCTGCTCCTTCCTCTCCCTCTCCACATGGTTTAGTCTCTTGGTTCGCTTCTTTGCTCCTGACGCTACTTGTCTTCCGAACTACCCGGACTACACTCTCCCCCAGGGTCCCTGCATGCTTCCTGCCCAGCGCCGCCTCTCCTAGACCTGTTCAGCCCAGATGGCTGGGAACCCCAGACACCACGGCCCTGCCTGGCACTCCCTGCATCCTAGCCCACGTGCTCACGTTGCTCTGTGATCCTTCCCTCTCCCCCTCCAGGAAACACCTCCTCCCTGGCCTCCTATACTCCACCCTCACCTATTCCTTCACCCACCTCACTAACGCTCCCTCTTAGAGCCTCTGTGGCGTCCTCCACAACTCCCCAACCTCCCTACCTGTAGGAGGCCTAGGGCTCAGTCCTTGGGCCTCATCTCCTCTCGATGCACACATACTCCCTGGGCGATCTCATCCCACCCCGTGCCTTTAAATATCATCTATATGCTAATGACTCCCGAATTTATATTGCCAACCCCAGCCTCTCCCTTGAGCCCCAGACCCACACATTCACCTGCCTGTCAACAGCCCCACTCATATGTGTAACGGGCCTCTCAAATTTTGCATATCCAAAACCAAACTGCATCGACAGACCCGTCTTTAAGAGTCATTTTGACCTTAGTATTTTGGCATTTCCACTGGTTCAAATCAAAAACTGAAGAATCATGCTTGGCTTCTCTCCTTCCCTCCTTCCACATCCTGCATCATCAAGTCCTGTCAATTCAACCAAGAAAATAAATACTCCAGATCTTTTCACTTATCTCCTTCCCACGGTCTCTGCCCTAGTCCACACCGCCAGCACCTCTTACTCCGACAGCTGTCAGGGCTCCTATCCTGCTCCCCTGCACCAGCTCTTGGCCCGTGGTCCAGGCTTCATACATTGGCCAACGTCCTCTTCTTTAGACGGAGAATTAGAATACGTCCTCCAAAGGTTAAAAGCGTTAATGGCTTCCCACTGCTCTTAAAACTCCTCACCATGCCCACCAGGCCCCATCTAGTTTGGCCCTGCATCCTCTCTGATTCCAATCCCACCCACTCCCTCTCCTACGCGCTATGCTCCAGGAACACTTCCTACCTCAGGGCCACTGCGCTTTGTATTTCTGCCCAGAGAGCTCATCACCTATATATAATCCCTCATTTCATTTAGATCTCTGCTCAGGAGACATCCCTTCATTCTCTCTCTCCTAACCTCTGGCCCCTGACACGTGAGCTGCTTGTTTATTTCGGAATTGTCTACTTCTTCCACTGGAATGAGAGAAGGAAAACCTTTGCCTTGTTCCCTCCAGGAACCACTGCCTAGGACAGTGCCAGGCACACACGAGGTCCTCAATAAACACCTTTTGAATGACCAAATCGCCCCTCTGGGGAGACCGGGGCCTGCCCCCACCTTGCCTCACTTTTCCCATCTCCCTTTCCTGAGCACGAATGTTAGTTGAAGATTTGGTGGGTGGGAATGAGCGGCCGTGTGCTGTCATCTTAAAACAACAAACATAACTTTATGGCTGACCAGCAGGTAAAATGTGTGTGGAATTTTCGGCTAAAATGTTGAGTTTGTGTTGGCTGCTTGCGGTTAAATCCTTCTCATCTGCCGTTTGGGGCACTTCGGAGGAGAAGCGTGAGGAGCCCTGATAAGCAATGGAAGCCCCTTCAGCAGGCCTGTTACAAAGTCAACAGGATGTTGGAGAGATTAGCCTGGGAAGGAGCTCAGGGTGCAGGAAGTGGGGGGAGAAAGCTGTAAGAAGATCGCCTGGCCGTGTCCTGTTGTAAACCAAGCAAACAGGTAAAGGCGGGTGTGTTATGCTCCACTACCGGCCACCTGCTATAGACAGTGCATCGTCATCCACTACAGCTCTGCAGCTACGTTTCTGCAGCCAGACTGTGGGGCCCAGCCCCCCGATGGGCCTACAGAAGGGGCCCGGCAGGCCCCAGACCGGCCTCACCTCCACACCGGACCAGTCCGTGACCCACATAGCATCCTGACAGGCACAGGGCCCCTCCCTCCCGTCAACCATGGAACGTACGTACCAAGAACACACCAGCGAGGCCCGGAGCACTCGCCTCCCCTCCCCGGCAGCTTTCTGGGTACCAGGTGGACTCCCAGCGCGAGTTGAGGACTCACCCGTACGCCTGGGGGACGAGGTACTGCGGCCCATCTCCTGCCATGGGGGAAGGGTCTCGGGGATTGGCGGAGAGCTTTGGAGGTGTCCTCTGAGGGTATGGATAGCTGGGCTGCACAAAGGGGATGTAGCCCAGCAGGGGGGTGTAGGAAGAGCGGAAAATCTGCTGTCCCATCTGCTGTGGATTGTACGGTGTCACCTGCAGGTCAGAGATGAGAGAGGGGCTGGGTCCCGCAGAGCCCACTGCTTCCAAACCTCACGGTTCCCAGCTCTAACCCCAACCCTAATCCCAGGCGCCACCCCCCCCCCCCAGCCCCTTGCCCCTCACTCATTGTGGGTATACAGAAGGCAATGTGTTGAAACGGCAAAAGCACAGGGCTCAGGTGCTGTGTCTGACTGGCAAGGTACTTAATTTATCTGAGCCTCAGTTTCCTCGTCTGTAGAATGGGCAAACACTCCCCTCCCCCAACGGACTCCCCTGAGTCCGCTGATATAAGTGAAGAGACTGGCACGTAATAAATAGTACATACATTTTATCCCCATTCTCTGCCCCACCTCCCTACCTGTTCCTCTGTCAATAACCATCCCCAAAGCCCTTGTCTCTTACTTTTACTGTCAAAAAAAAGCTGTTGAGATTTATATGTCCCTGGCCTCTACCTCAGGATCTCAACAGATTCCCAATGCAAGACAGCCCTGCCCCGTGGAAATGCCCGTGACAGGTGATGGAGATGTCCTGTGTCTGCACTGCCCGGTATGGTAGCCGCCGGCCCCATGTGGCTATTGACTGACTACTTGAAATGTGACTGCTGTGAATGAGGAACTGAATTTTAAACTTTACTTAGTTTTAATTGACTTAAGTTTAAATAGCCACATGTGGCTAGCGGTTACAGTACTGCACAGTGTGAGTCTGGGAGAAAGGGCACAAAAAGGCAGTGGGATTCAGCTCACACTCTGGAGAAAATTAGGAACTCAGTGGGATTTCAGACACTACCTAGATCCGACTCCCACCAACGGACACGCCAGGGACCCTATCTGTCTTATCTACTGATATCTTCTCAGCCTTAAGACAATGCCTGGCACACAGAAACTGGTCAATAAACATATAGTAAATGAATGAGTGCAAGAGAGAAAGAGAGAGGAAGAGGAGGGAGGAAAAAAGAGGCCACTAAGTGTCTGCTTGAATACCTAAAGTGATGGGGATCTCATTACATGTTAAGCACTACGTTCTACTACTGACAGCTCCAAACGTCAGAAAACTCTCTCTTGGACAGCCATCCTCCTGTGTGCTGAAGGGAAAATTGGGGAAACTTCTGGGCTTCCTCTTTGAAAGCAAGAGTCTGGGGTCCAAGCTGCTCAGGGATTCAGCACACAGACAACCCTCTCTCCAACACTGCACATCCTATCTCATTAAAAAAAAAAACCAAAAAACAAAAAAACTCACAAAGGCTAGGGTTTATTGAGTGCTTAGGGCATGCCCAGCCCTTCATACAGATTCTCTCACTCAAACTCCAAACAGCCCTGGGAGGCAGGACCATTACTAGTCCCACTGTAGGAATGAAGAAATGGGGTTCAGAGAAGTTAAGACCTTGCGTAGTAAAGTGCTTCAAGGTGTCAGAGTTGTAGTGGGAAGCCCCAAGGCACACCGCTGTACCGCACCTCCACGCATGCTCCCTCTGGAGGCTGGAGGTATGCTCCTCCGTCCTGGCCCTCCCCATGTCTCCCCCAGAGGATACACAGGACTGGGTGATGCTGGACATGGGCACCAAAACCCGAAGATGACAAGCTGAAAGTCAGAAAGGGTCAAGGGCTCAAAGAGAGAACCCAGGAAGACACCTCCCAGGACAGACACCTGCAAGAAAATGGCAGAAAATCCCCCTGGTTTTCTTGGGGGTGGGGGTGGTGGGTGGAGTCCCGGACCTGGGAGGAAACTGACGTGAGAGAGGAGACGGGGGTCCTACAGCTGATACAAACTTTCTTTAGAAAGGTACCCTAACTACATGTAACAGCTAAACACCATACAACGGCCGCGTATGCCATTCTGGAACCATCTCCAGGATACTCTCTGCTGATGAAACTAATGTTAGAACAGTGTGCCCAGAAAGCGGCATTTGTACAAAATGTTTGTATCAATAGATACCACTGGAAAGATGCTTGAGGAACCAGCAACAGTGACTCTGACATTTTTAAAAATTTTGTACCGTGTTCTTATATTACTTTTTCAGATGCACACACGCCCAGAAGGTCGCCTCAGTGCGAACTCTTTGGAGCTAGGTGGGGGCTAGGTGGTTGGTATCACTGTTTGTGGGGTGGGGGTGACTGACTGAGATTCTGTGAGCCGGACTGTCTCCTCTCTGTTCTTCTTCAGGATGCAGATTCCCTACTGCTAGAGAAACAGTTCTGGCCCAGCTAATAAAGTAGGATCTATCTATGGGCCCTTCTCTACCCTCTGGAACATTCCAACATACTTCAGGTCAGGGGGGCAGTTTGCAGAGAAAGGGTGGGGCTCCCTGGGGGGAGAAAGGAGAGCCAAGGAGTGTACGTCTGAGTGTGTGTGTGTCGGGGGGTGGGGGGGGGTCTGTCCACCTGTGTGTGAGGGGCCAAGACCAGCCTGGGGATGAAGAGCAGTATTAGCTTCTCTCCTCACACCCCCGTTGCTGCCCCAAGACTCTCAGTCTCTCTGACTTGTGTGTGCAGCCTGGGGGCGTGCGTATGACTATATCTTCATGTGTGTCTCTATGTGTTTGCATTTGTCTCTGCTGCTTTATTTTGATACTGTGTTTTTGTGTATCTGTGTCCAAGAGGCAGTAAACCATGGTCATTGGCAGCATGGACTCTGAAGCTGAGCTGCCCAAGGTCAAACTCCCAATTTTGCCGTCGTGTGATTTTTAAGCACATATCCGCTACCCACGGAACCAGGGGTGCCAGATTTAGCAAACAAACAAACAAAAAAAGATATCCAGTTAAATCTGAATTGCAGATGAACAGCAAATAATTTTTTAATATCGGTGTGGCCCATGCAGTATTTGGAGCTAACTTATACTAAAACTCTACCCACCATCTATCTGAAATTTAACTGGGTGTCTCGTATTTTAACTGACAAACTGACATGGAAGGGTGTGAGTCCCCAGCCCCACTGATGCTGGGCAAACCCATGTGATTTTCCTTGGCCAGTGGAAAGCGGGTAGGCGCACATCCCACGTGCTGGCTCTACGCCGAGGCGCTCGGAAGCATGACGTGTTTCCGCTCACCCCTCTGGCACTCCGGTCATCCACCGTGGCAGGAGCCAAAGCTACCGTGTCTTGATCCCAAAAGGAGGTCACATGAAACAGGCTTGAACCCAACCCCAGCCCAGCTCAACCAACTCAGAGGCCTATGAGTGAAAAATAAGTATTTATTGTTGAAAGCCTCTGAGGTATTGAGACCATCTGTTGCCACAGAAAAAGCTAACTAGTATGTTAACTTTGTGACCTTGCGCAAGTTATTTAATATCTCTGTGCCTCAGTGTCCTCATCCTTAATCTATTTCATAGGGCGGTTGTTAGGTTCATGCAGGTAAAGCCCTTATCTTTTTCTCTCTCTCTCTTTTAAAGTTTATTTATTTTTGAGAGAGAGCTAGCATGCTTGCGTGAGCCGCTGGGGGTGGGGGTAGAGAGAGAAGGGCACAGGGGATCCAAAGCGGGCTCTGTGCTGACAGTAGAGCCCGATGTGGGGCTAGAACTCATGAATTGTGCGATCATGACCTGAGCCGCAGTCGGATGCCCAACCGACTGAACCACCCAGGCGCCCTGCCCTTAGTTTATGCAGGTTAAGCCTGTAGAGAACGGCTGGCACACAGTGAGGGCTCTGCAGGTGCCAGCTCTTATCACCAAGGGACACTGGTTTGTCTCCACATGCACACTGGCCTCTGTGCCTGTTCTCTGGGGCTAAGGGCGGGCCGGGAAATATATGGCCAGTGCCCAGCTGGATAAAGACGAGGCAGCAGATGTCCTTCTGACTTGAAGGCCTTTGTGGAGCTGGGACAGAGGTGGGCAGGTTGTCTACTCACCTGTCGGGAATAACAGCCCAGCTGGGGGTGCACGGCCTGCTGATAGGGCATCCTGGCTGCACGCTGTGGATACAGGCCCTGCAGAGAGAAGGGGGAGGCTCAGCAGTGTGGAGAAAAGGGCTCCCAGCCAGCCAGAGAGCGGTAGCCGCTCAGCCCACAGACCAGCTCACGTGCCTGGATCGCCAGCCTGCTCGAGTCCGTCCCACCACACTGCCGGCCAGACCCACCCGCCAGTTAGTCCTGTCCAGCCATCAGGCCAAACAAGCACAACTCACCCCACACAGGAAGCCCCTTCTTGGGCAGGATTCATGGCCCTTGGGGTGAGTATTTAAGGTAAGACCTTGAGGAACCTGATTGCCTCTTGAATCCCAGATCTGCCCCTTGGTGGCTGTGTGACTTTGGGAAAATCACTTCACTTCTCTGAGCCTCTTTTCCCTTGTCTACAAAATTATATGTGTTTGGACCTGGAAAGGCTGTGAAAGTAGCTACATTATTTTTTTTTTGCTATTTCACCCTTTGTCCTTTCCCCAAACCCCATTCCTGCCCCAAGACAGGAGGTATCGAGGTACATCTGTGTGTATGTGTGTGTCAGTTTGCATCTGTGTTTATTTAAACACATCAACACGTGTGCTTCCCTTTGTGTCTGCAGCTGCGTGTTTCGGGTGCATTAGTTTGGGTCCCTGCAGCTGTGTGTCTATGTGCCACATGTACACCTGAGTCTGTACCTTATGATGAGGATTGGCCCGAAGATCAATGAGCTAGTCCATCTAAAGGGCTTAGAACAGTGCCCAGCACATAGTGAGGATTCTGCAAATGTTAGGGATTTTTAGAATTTCTCACTGCTCCCCACCCCTTGGAGAAGCTGTCTGGCAGTTCAGCCTGATGGAAAGTGGAATCTTTATTCCGAACTCTGTCTGGGGTGGCCTCAGGCATCCATGTATACACACACACACACACACACACACACACACACACACACACACACAGAATGTGCTTCTGTGGGTGGCGTCAGATCATGGCCCCTCTAATCTCAGACTGCCTCTACCTGCCAATTCAGAGTCATCTCCTCAGATGCTGCTCAAAGCACCCCTCAGGCCAGTATGTCTTTCCCAAAGATTCCAAACCCTGAGATGTTGCCTTCATTCTGGGCTCAGCTTGTGGCAACTATCAAAGTGTTGGTGGCTGACACTGTACCCTTGATGACTTCCTCAGAGCCCATGAGCTCCTCATCAAAGGCTCCAGAATTCCTGACATGGGGCCCTATCTTCCAGGTCCCCAAGTTTACACATCCTCTAAGAACCTCTCCTTGGTCTCTGCTCCCAACCAACTGACACAGACTGTGGTCAGGCCCTTCCCACCTCCACCAGCCCCTTCACCTGCATCCCAGACCCTGCGGCCAGGGCAACCCCTTCACCACCATGACCACAGCCTAGTCTCTGTGACCCCGGCCGTGGCCTGACCCTGGACAGAGAAGTCAGACAGATGGGGCTGTTCCAGCCGGCAGCCAGCTCCAAGGCCATGTTCTGTGTGTCTGTCTCCCTCCCCATCAGCCTCAGCTCTGTTATACACAGCAGACTCCCCCAGGCCACCATCCCCTCCACATCGGCCTGGGCCGGGCTACCCCTCGGGCCTGTGCAAGACAAACAGCCACCTCCCTGCTCCATCCTGGACGGATTTTCAAGAGACAGGGCCACATGTATCAGCATGAGCAACACACTATCTGACTTTAAGGATGTTGCTAGTTGTTCAACTTGCAATTCTGGAAAATCGAAAGCAACGATTTCTTCTTTGCTTGAGGTCATGGCCTCTTTCCACTCTCCCTCCTTAACTGGGAGCAGCATTCCTTTATGCCAAGGAGCCCAGGGCACTCTGGAGTTCCTTGGTGCTGTGGACTTAGTCTTTCATGGCTCTGCATTGCTCCGCATCGCTCCACAGTAGGGTTCTGAGCAAATTGGCTTTGGGACCTCATCTTTATTCCTAACGCCAAGCAGGAAAAGAGACTAGGATAGACCGTTCCCTGTGTCTCCTCCAGGTCTTTGGAGTTCCCTGACCCTGTTTCCTAGGAAGACCAGGGCTGAATAATAATAAAAACCAACATCTGTATCACACTTTAGATTTTTCAAAGCTCTTTCTCACCCATGAACTCAATTAACCTTACAAGCGAGTCAAGCCTATGCTGCTGCTGTGGCTGCTGCTTATTATCATGAGCCCATTTCACAAGTGAGGAAACCAGGGCTCAGAGCATTTAGCTAACTTTAACTTGCCCAAGGCCACACAGCTCGAAGGCAGTAGATTCCTTTAAACCCGAGTCTGCCGATTCCAAAACCTGCCTTCTTTTTATTAAATCAGGCCCCTTGACGAGCTGTCTTGAAGCTGGATGGCATTATGAAATCACGAGGAGCTGGAAGAAGGTATACTGCACTGTTCCCCATCACTACCTGGGAGGGTGAGCATCTCCAGCCGAGGCCAAGAAGCCGTGGAAGCAGCCCTGCCCTGCAAACACTGGCATCTCTGAAAACAAAGGGTCTCTGTGCTCAGGTACGTTCGAATCTCACTCCCTCCAAAAAGTCAGGTCAGAAGCGGGTGTCATAGCAAGGAGCTGCTATCTCCTGTTTATAAAGCAAGCCATCATGAATCAGCTTTATATGCCGAGCTGTGAGTGCACTTAGAGTGGATCGGTTTACACTGCATAAAAGTATGCAACTGCTTCTTTCAGAGGTGGGGTGTGCACACAGGGCTGTTCTTGGATTTGTTCCTGACGTGTGCTGGACTGTGAGCTTGTCTGTCATCTTCGAATGCCCTCGCCTGGCCAATGCTTGGCCTCTAGTCAGTGTCGAGCAAAGGTTTTTGAATTACTTAAATGAATGAGTAAACACATAAATAAAAATGAACACATCGGTGAGTCGGTGAATAAATGCCTGAAGAGTAAACAAGCAAACACAAACGTGCAAGGGTGAAGAGTACTGGAGAAGGGGTCGGTGAGTGGAGGAGGGCATGCGGGTACTTCTCTCAAGACTGATGTAAGGAGGATCCAGATATGGGACCCGAGTGTGAGGCTTTCTGTCCTGCAGGAGGAGAGGGCAGGCCCTTGTCCTCTTTAGCAAACAAACAAACAAACAAAAAAGGCTTGAAAGCAAAACATCAAAGGGAAAGAAAGCTTAGCTTCTGTTTAAGATTCTGGGGCTAAGGCTCGTGCACTGGCCCAGAGAGGCTTTATATGGGGCAGAGAAGATTTGCCTTCTGCTCAGGGGACATCTAAGCCATAAGGCTTGCTGCTCTGCTATAAAAGAGGGAATGACACAGGGAGCCAAGGAGAAGTGGAAGGGGAAGGGAGACAGAGAGAGGACAAGATGACTTTCCGGTGTCTTGTTTTCTCTATTTGCTCTCTCCATGCTTTGCTGGGCCAGGCTAGGGCAGCAGGTTCCCAAGGGCCTGACTGTTCCAAGTTGGCATGTCCCGCCGGTACACCCACATGCTGCTCTGGAGAGGTGCTGGGGCGGGGGCCAGAAGACTAAGTAATCCTAGACATTGAGCACCTTTCCTGGAGAAGCTGAGCACTACCTAAAGGGACTATTTAAGCTACTGAATTGAACTCAAGTTGAAACCAGAGTGGACATTGATTTGATTTTTTTCTTCCTTCTGCCCAGTGGGCAGCAACTCTTAAGGGAAATTGACTTAAATAGACAAACTAAAGAAACTACATTTTCCTGCATAAGTAAGTTCTGTGAGTAAAATTTCCAATCCTGCTACATGTGTTTCTGGTCACTAATTCCCTTTAGGCTATTAGGCTATGAACCCAAGACTGAAAATGTGTATGCCAGGCCACCTTCACTGGTACAAGCTAAGACCACTCAGATGTCGTTGAAATAAGGTGGCCATACAATTTGGCGTCCACACCAGGGCACTTGAGAGTGAAAGGGCGTGCTTTTAATAATTATGCCGGGACAAAAGTCCTAAACCCGGACTGTCCTGAGTACTCTACAGGACACATACCATCCAGGTAACAAGGAAGCACTAGCAGGTGTGTGGGAAGCTGGGACCACACCATCATCCTATGCTTGGAGTCTAAGCACTTAAACGGCCAAAACTAGCAAAGCAGATCTGGAATACACAGCATAGAGTGAACTGGAATTCAGACAATGGAAAATTTAGAAGGGTGTGTGTGTGTGTGTGTGTGTGTGTGTGTGTGTGTGTGTGTATACACCACACAGTTGGTCTGATGTGGCTGCAATGAAGAGAGTAACAAGTCTAAAGCCTATTTGTGAATCAGGCTCCCCATAAGCCACAGCTTCTCCGTGGCTGGAAGCTGGACAGCCAGACCCACTCACTCACCTGATACTGTGGGAAGGTGGAGTGATTTGTGAACACGGGCGGAGGTGGATAGTTGAGGTTGAGCCACAGTGGCTGGTTCAAGGTTGCTGAGGTCCAGGCTGTGGCAAAGCGTGGGGTGAATACATTCCCTGTGTACTTGAGGTTGTTCTTGTCGGCCACCGTCACAGGTGGGTTAACTGCAAGTCATGGGAGAGGTAGAGTATTTCAGTGATTGGAGAAGAAAGAGGCCAGGACACCCTCAGCACCGTGACTACCCCAGGATTAACGCTCTCAGATGTCAGGTCTTTTAAGCTCCAAGACTCGGGTTCTTCAAAGTTTGGGTGACTTTCCAACTACAGAAAAACATCGTTAGCACACACCTGGCCAATTTGGAAGAAGTGAGAATCCCAGCATGGTCTGGCTTAGAGCTCTTTCTCCATCATTCACTAGTAAAGGAGATGGTTTAGCAAGAAAAAACAATAACCCAGGTTGCTATGGCTATATTTCACCTAGGTACAAAACCAAATTCTTTCAAGTGCTTTACAAAAATCCAGTTTTATACCAACAATTGCTATGTCGTTGGAATTCATTCTTACCAAGTTATTAAAGCAGTCCCTTGGGACATGTACTTGGCAACACCGAGAACCTTATATAGGTTATTGTACCTATATTGGAATCACTTTTTAAAAATCTCAAACATTATTTAACTAATATGGTACGACCCCAAGTTAGTCTGAATGAATGAGATTTGGTTGAGTTGTTCTGGGATATGAATCCTAGGTTCTCTCCCTCTATAATACGTCCTGTGAGCTTATCACAGAGTCAGAGCTGGGACCTCAGTTTCCCCTTATGGGCATCTTTTTTTGGGAAAGGAGTTCTGACTGAAACAGTTGTAAGGAGAGAAAGCAGGGACATGAATAATCTCAATGTAGAAATAATAGGAAGCATGGATTTTTCTTGGGCTTGAGCAACTTGAGAGGATATGAGGCACCCTGGCTCCGAGTTGTATTCAAATTGACCACTAATGATGCCCATGGGACCCTGAAAGCCACCTGTATTTCCCTAGTAGTTGTATTCCTGATAAGGGACGTAGGAGACAGTCATTTCCCCATTTTATGAGTTTAGAAACTGACACCCAGAGAAAGACAGTGACTCAAAGGCAGCCATTTGGCGGCAGAGTTTCTGGATTCCCTTCCTCTACAGATGCTCCCCTGGGCACGCTCAACTCACGTTTCAGCTCCAGCCCGTCCACCTCCATTTTGCTGCGAAGCTTCAGCTGCCCGCTGGAGTTTTTGGTGGCCCCAAGAAACTCATAGAGCAGGTTCTTCTCGGCTGGCCATACAGACTTCGTGGATGGCAGGGCCATGGACATGGAGCCTATTGGGTCACTGCAACTCTCCTCACCACCGGTGTCCTTCCGGCTCTGGGGCCACTGACTGAGAAAGAGGCTCTCTCGACCCTTGGTTGGATCCTTGGTGCTAGGGTTCCATTCTACAGCAGGAGAGAAACTGGGTCAATGGCTCTGGAAGGCCAAGTGCTGGATGCTGGGAGAACCCTCTTGTGGACAAAGTGACAGGTCCTCCCTAGCACACACGTGGGACTCAAAGCACTCTGGGGCCTCTCTGCCAGCCCAACCCAGTCCTACTCTTCTCCCTGGGGCCTTTGTGGACCATTGCCCATTCCAATCTTCCCCTCTCATGCATGCATACATGGATCCATCCACCCTCCATTTGTACCTTCCTCCCTTCCATCCATCCATTCTCCCTTTCTTCCATCCAAACTTCCTTCTTCCCAATTACCTTTCTTTTCTTCTCTTCTTTTATTTTCCTCCTTCCCCTTCCTTCCTTTTTCCCTCCTTTCATTCCTATCTTTTTTCTTTCCTCACTCCCTCTTTTTTTCCCTCTCTTCTCTCTATTCATCCACAGTGCCGACCCTGGATACAAAGCTGCCTTCAGGGGGCCCCTGGCTTAGTGGGGGAGACACACATTCCTGCAGAGCACATGGTCTGCACCGAGGTCCAGCCCCTCACCATGGACTCTGCTCCTGCTGTGCCGCTCGCTCATGGGCAATGCAGCCCGCCCGTCAGTGTCGGGCCCTGACCTGAGTCCTGAGGACACTGTGATGAGTCAGAGCTAGACTCAGCCCTGCAGGAGCTCACAACAAGGAGGGAGAGAGAGACAGACCCAGAAATAGCTCCAGGACAAGACAGATGGGGACCGTGAGGTGACAGAGGGACACAGTGGGAGAAGAGGGTGGCTGAGACGGCTTCTATCTGAGACGGTCCGAGGGTTTCCGGAAGGAAGTGGGCCTTCAGTGAGGCCTTGCATGCAGGAGTCTGGAAAGGTGGCACTGCGGGAGAGGGCGTCAGGGAGACACGATGAGTCCCTGCATGGGGATGGGGCCAGGCTCAGGTCTCCTGCCAAATAGACTGAGTGGACTGCCAGCATGAGGATGCTGCCTGGACCATTGTGGAACCCTCCACACCCGTATTTCCTTTTGAGCAAAAGGAACTCATTCTTCAAACAAAATTAACTATGGTTGAAATTATATACGTGGGGGTTTGTTTGTTTTTAAGGCATTGTCTGGTTGGAGTAGTGCTCCCCACTCCTACCCCAACCTGGAGGTTTTGCAGGTCTCCCTGGAGCTTGGCTGGGAAACGGCCCTGGACAAACAGCAGGTGCCCTCAGATCGTTCCCATAGTGGCTGGATCGGAGGACCTGAGCCCTGTGTCACCTGTTGAGAGTGGATCTGATCCTACCAGCTCTTGCCCCCACCACAGTCCAGTGGCCTGTGGCTGAGTGTGGACAGAACTGGGCCTGCCCTCCTAGTGCCATCCCAGCCAAGGAAAGAGTGCTATAGTCTGAGCCAATTTAGGAGAAAATGACATTTTTAGCAAAACATGTCCCCAGAGTCTCTTCCAAGAGTTTCTCTGGTTGCCAAGTTTAGCCCCCAGCCAGTGTGCTGAAATAACGGTACCCACTAATAATAGCCCTTTCCCCAGAGACCCACACACCTGCAGTCTCTCACCCACCTCCCATCGCCTTGAACACACTTGCCACTCACTCAGCTCCAAAGCTCCCTCTTCTAACATCTGTGTACACAGACAGACACACATACACACACACTCCTGCCTGTCATTCCTCCGCCTCACTCACACGTACACAACTATGCACACAAGACACACACATTCAGATGCACTCACACCCGCATTTTTTCTAGCAAGCATACTCACATCTGTAAAGTTCTCTTTGGCACACAGACACACACAGGTAGCGGGCACGGCGGGTGGGAAAGGAATACCTCCAACCCAGCGGCCCCATCCATCCGGGAGCTATCCATACATCCTTTCTGGAGAAGGAGATGGCAGGAAAGTCCCACCCTCCGGGTAGGGTTCCACCTTCACACGCACAGCCCATGGCTCCAAAGAGGCCACTGGCTCCCAGAGACTCTTCCTAGGACCCAGAGTCCAGCTTGCTGTCCCCAGCTCTGATTTCTCAGCCTTCCGATAATGCTCCAGAACACAGAACACGCACTTATTTGCTTAAGGAGAGGGATCTGAGCCTTCCCAACACAGGGATCTCAGGTATCCATCCACGCTCACAGCCCGGGGGTAATTTTTCTTTTGGTTGACAGGGGTATGGTCAACTCTCCTAGTAACTGCTTGGAACCATCCGGTCTGAGTGGCTGGATCAGAAGGGGCACAAGGTGCAGAACCTGGGAGTGGGATGGGGGGGAACAGTCCCAGGGAACAAGTCCAGAGCCAAGAGTCTGAACTAAACGTGGAAGGTTTGCACATTCACTCCCAGGGCCCAGAGCGAGGACCAGTCCTCATGGTCAGAACAGGTGCCTTTATCGGAAGCCAGATGACACTGTCTGCTAATCAAATTTCCCTCCTATCTGGCTTAAGGTCCCCATGCTGCAGTTACAGCTGGGGTAAACGCTTCCCTCAACGTACTTTGAGTACCTGGATTCAAAAAATGAGCCCGTTACCAAATGTGCCTCTATCTCCCCTCAAAGTGCGCTGGGATCAAGGTCACCACGTTTGCTTAGACAAGCTGTGCCCCATACACGGGCCTCCAGCAGAGGGGGCCTGTGGGTGCAAAAAGCAGGCTGCACTTGGGGCCCACACCCACCAGAGAGACCACTGCCCCCCACTCTGCACAGAGATGCCATCTGCACCTGCTGTAACCCTGATTGGCTTGCTGGTAAGTCCCTCCCTGCAGGCTCATCTACTGGCCCTGCTCCCAGGCCCACTCACCCATCAAGAGGTGCCCCTCCATAGCAGAGTCAGCCTCGGGCTTGGAGCAGATCTTCGCAAACACTGGGAGCTGCCTCTTCTGAGGCGGGAGCTCAGAGAGCTTCTCAGGAGGTGCAGACAGAGGCGGAGGCGGTAGCAGTAGGAATGGGCCCAGCCCCATGGGCTCCCTGGGTCCTGGGCCACCGAACATGCTGTTCTGCAAGAAGTCCTTGATGACCCTTGTCTCCTCCAACACCATCTTGTTGTCAGGAGCCTTGGACGTTTCTGTGGACTTGAATGGGAACTGAGCCAGGAGCTTGCCGATCTCTGAGTTAGAGGCACCCAGGCTGTGGCCCCCATCTTCTGTCCCCTTGACACTCTTGACCTTAGCAGCGCGCAGAATTCCCGTGACAGTAGACATGACAGAATCACAGTCCGGCCGGCTGCTGATGACAGACATGGCCACCTTCGGCTCAAGAAGCGTATCACCAGCAATGATGGAGGTCCCCGGGTACTCACTGCTGTCCGCCACTGGAGGAGGTATGAGAAGGCAGGGAGCCAGCTGTCTGGGTCCCTCGGGAGAGGTGCCGGGGGCCTCCAGCTCCTCCGAGCTCTCTGTGACCAAAATGAGGTGCTCTTTGGTCAGGCTTAAGAACTCCTGCTCCACCAACAGGGAGATCTCATCTTTATCACGGCTGAGCTCCAGAGCTCTGCAAACGGGTCAGAAAGACAGGCAGCTTTAGTGCCAGCTCACTAGGGGTGGCTCCGTGGCAGGGCCCAGGCCCCAGGGAAAGGGGAGGAAGAAAACACGTCTCCAGGCCAAAGAAACCTACTGCTTTCTCAAGACAGAAAATGGACAAACAGTGGGTTCCCAAGAGGTTTCTACACATGCCAGCACCGAGAGCACAGTTCTGGGAATCGGGACACCTGGGTCCTCTCCAGACACTATGTCTTGCTGAGTGAGCTGAGCCTTAATTTCAATCCAGCCCTTCCTGTTCGGTTGTGCCCAGGACCTGAAACAAGGAAAGACCAGCTGCACAGGGGTCAGGAGTGAGCCGACAGCTCTGAGCGTAGAGGCCAGAGTGCTGGGGCTGAGCGCCAGGAAGCCCAAGACTCACTGCCCCGTGGCAGGGGGAGGGAAGGGACTGTGGAGTGGACAGCTGGACTCACGCCCTGCCTCCCTCACTTCCCTGCTGGGACCTTGGGTAGGTTGCTTAGCATCTTGACACCCTGTCTCCTCATCTGGTTAACAGGAATATCATAGATGTACAAAGCACCGTGGACAGCGTCTGGCACAGAGTAAGGGTGACACGAGGGTGTCTACACCTGTGTCAGCTTGGTTGGGCTCTGGATCCTGGAGTCCATACCACTTCCCCGTGGCTACCCATGTCCCCCCACGTTGGCATGGCCCTCCAATCAGATCACAGTCTCTGGGCTGAGCCCAACTTCCCGTGGGCAGCTGCAGTTGCTTGGTCCGTGCACTGATTCACATGCATCTCCCTGTACCTACACACTGGCCCCTACCTGCACCTCACACAACAGGATGGCAATCCTGTTGGCCTGGCTTGTGGCCCAGCCTGCCACACTAGCATCTTTGGCAAGGGGGCATCTTCCTCCCTGGCACTCCCAGAAGGACCATGACTACCTAGCTTAAAACCATCTGCTATCCATATTTGGTGGGCTCCCATAAGAAGTCGATGAGGTGCTCTAGAAAGAGCATTCTGAAAACTTCTCAGTGCTCTCTCCTGGGAGAGGGTGGTGAAGACAATGAAGGAGCAATGGGGGGGGGGGGTGGGAATGAAAATGCCTCATGAATGGAGCTCTGCCAATGGGGACATCTGGAGCACACCCCTACTCTCACAGTTCATCCCAAAGGCCCAGTGAGTCCCACAAACGGGGACTATGAATGTTCCCAGCAGGGATGTGGCTTCCTGGTAATGCTCTTTGTATATGAGCACATGCACGCTCACCTGTGTACAAGAGCAAATGCACGCACGTGTGGGTGTATTTGATGCATACACACGTGCAGGCACAAAATGTCTCGCATGTTCCCACACACAGAACCAGGGGGAAAGTCACTGCATTTGACAGCCAATCAGAACGGACATAGGCTACAGTCCCAGAGGCTTCCTCTGTGCCAGGCATTACCCCCTTCGTTGCCAGGTCCTGATGAGGCCCGGGGGGTGTACCAAGGTCGCTGGGTGGCCAGGGTAAATGGCAAACACTGGGAAGAGCTGAAGATATGGGAGTGCCTCGCTATTCTAACAACCGAGACAGCCATGCCCCCTGGTCACCAGCTGCGCACTCGGCCTCAGCAGACTTAGAAGCAGAGAGAGGTGCCAGGAAAAAGCAGAATCTGGCCAAACGGGTCTGGGTTTCAATAGGGTGCTAGTGCCTATTTCATGCCAGAGCCCAGAACCTCCAGGCCTCCCCTGTAGCACGGGCGTGACACCTGTACCGGCAGTAATGGCATAGGTCTGAGAACGTGGTGAGGTGCCCAGTGCTGGCTGCAGTGGGAGGGTCCTGGGAGCTCAGGAAGGTGGTGTGGCTGCAGGGAGGCTGGGCCATCTTCCATTCAGGCTTTCTTGATCCTTCCATGCTCTCTCCCCCCCTCCTCTCTGCCCTCTCCCATTCTCTTCCTTTCCTCCGTCCCATGTCTAGACTTTGTCTATAAATAGGCCCCACTCTCACTGCTGTGTCCCTGGGAACAATCAGAATAAAAGAGGCTACCAATCTGGGTTTTAGACCCCCTTCTTCTTCTTCATCATCATCCTCAAAGGGAACAGGTGAGTCCCGAGTCACAGACACCAGACATTTAAAGGACCACTCTTTGACTCTCCCCTCTACAAAGCAAGCTATATACCAATAGATTTTCTAGAAAGACCTACTACAATGATATCAATTTTAAAACATTGTGATAATGGTATTGTGGTTTATGCTTAAAAAAAAAACTGAGTCCTTATCTCTTAGAGATACATACAAAGTGTTTACAGATAAAATTATGTCTAAGATTCACTTTAAACTTAATCCAGCAGAGTTGGAGGGGAAGATGGCAGGGTCATAGATGAAACAAGATGGCCACACATTGGCCATCACTAAAACTGGGTGACTGATAGGTACATGGGTTCATCACGTGCTATTTGCTCTACTTTTGGCTGTTTTTTTTTTTTTAATACAGGTGTTAGACATAGAAACACATAGAAAAAAGTCTCACCACTTACTTAAGGCCAACTCTAAGGAGAAGTCGAGGCAGATTCTAAGGTCCCCTCAGGACCTTGGGGTCCCTGAATCAAAACCCACCCACAGATGGTCCTTTCTCAGCACCTGATAAGACACTCCTACCTCTCCCCAACTCGGAATACAGGCAGAAACTGAGTAGGAACCCCTATCCTTACTCTGGATACATCACAGAGGTCACGGGCCTCTTAGGAAGCTGGCATCCCCAGAAGGGACGGCACAGTGCCAAGAATGGAGGACCCACTCTGCTGTGGGCCCTCCATGTACCCCTGAAAGGCTCCACTCTGGCTGTGGGCCTTCCACGTACCCCTGAAAGGCTGCCCCCGGGCACCGAGGCTTCCCATGGGCCTCCACAAACCCCTATTTCCCTTGCGTCTGTCATAAATCCACTACAGAACAGACAGGAAGCCAGGCATCCACATACATGCTTGAATTTAATCCTCTCCACATTCCTGGGCAATAAACAGCATCATCCCCACTTTATGAAGGGGAAAAATTAAGCCTGAAAGAGGCCAAGGACCTTGTCAACTAGAAAGGGTGGGGATGCCAGTGGGTCTGGCTGCCTTTGCTGCCTCCTCCTACCGCATCCGGCTTCCTTTCCAGGGTCAGTTATCCAGCAAGGACTCCTACTCCATGGCTGGGCTTCGTTCCCCAATCTGAGTGTGATCAGGGCCATTGCTGGTTTCATTCCATCACTCCAGCCTGTGGAGGATCATCGCGGTGAATCCTGGGTCTGTCATCCATGGCATTAGCTGTCCCTGACAGCTCCATTTCAGCTGCATGTCTGATGAGCACGTCTTTTGGGTCTTCCGCCAATTTATGGATAGAAGTGTTGAAGGGAACAAGCCCAGGGCCAAGCCTTGGAGACACTGCCGGATACCCTCCCCGCAGCCTGACAGTAATCCTGGCTCAACACTTTGGGGGAATAAATCAATCCAGTCACTATCGGCCCATCTCGACTTCTCCAAGACAGCCTTTATCAAGCACCTCGCTGCAATCAAGATTCATCGCACAGTTACAAGTCCCTGATCAAGGGTCTTCCTACCTGCCCCCTCCACTCCCAAGAAAACAAGATTCATTTGCTCTTGTTTGTTCTAGAAAACTGCATGCCTGCAGAGTTAGGACATTCTCAGAACTCAGATCAATCCATTTCTCTGTTTATTAACCTCATGTTTAAGGCTTAATTTCAATCCATCCCTTCCTGTTCGGTTGTGCCCACTTAAGTGTTTATTTTCTTCATGGTATTAACCACTACCACACAGCATCTTTTTTTACATCTCTACTTCCCACAACAACATAACTTCCCTGAGGGCAGGAACTGTATCTTGCTCAGCACAGAGCCTCAAGGTCTAGAGCAGTGCCTGGCATACGACTCCAGTTCATCGAGAATTTGTTGAATCAATGGGTGGACTAGCTCATGAACTTATCTTGACATCTCTTGGAGCTCTTGACATCAAGAGCTCTATTGCCAAAGACTTCCCAGTTCCTTCCACTGGTTGCAAACTATCTTGCCTTGGTTCCATTTTCTAGCCCCCACAACTAGCCTGGCAACCCTCTAAGCTGGTCAGATGATACTAACCACATGCTCAGCCCCACCCTAAGAACTCCCCACCTCTGCACAGTGGTCCCACAGCAGACCCCACACAGAGCCCGCCTGATCTTCACAACCACCATGGGCTCCCAGAAAGATTTTTCATTCTCCCCACGACTTTGCTGGGTTCACTGTCAAGTCTGTTCCCCTGCATTTCCTGGAATCTATCTTTTCTTCTCTCTTCCTAAGAAGTTTTGCCGATCCTGGCACCTCTCCCATGCTATTTGCTTTCTCCTTTGAGTTGGTAAAAACCATAAAATCTGCCACAGACTGTATCACAGTGAATCACTCAGGGAGGCTAACTCAGCTCCCGGGCACTGACAAAGAAAGAAGTCAGGACTGGTGCCGTGGCCCCAGGGGCCACCGCCACCTTTGCGTTGCCTACCTCCAGAAGTGACAGGTGCCTGAGTGAGTGCATCATGTCTGCATTCGCAGGGTACAGAGTCATATAAAAATAAAGGCTATTGACTGGTTGGCACCCCTTCCCAGAATAATGACTAAGCAAGCACACTGTTAGCTCCCAACAGCGGTTCTGTGTACATGATAACACAGAGCAAAGATGAAACTGCTATTCAGCTGAGCCAGACAACAGAAAAATGCAAGCGGAAAATTGTTAGTGCTACAAGAGGACACCAAAACAAATATTTTCTTCCCACCGTGGCATTTCAGAACGACGACAAACACAGTACCCAAGCCCAGCGCCCAGGCAACATGGCTGACTGTGACCGAAGCAAGTGAAGGGCTCCAGGTCTGCCACCGACCTGAGCCTGAGTGACGGTCCCTCTGCAGACCGACCTCACTGACTGTGGATGAGGTTCTGACTTCCCTACCTGTCTGCATGGTTGGAGCAGCAGAGCCTAGTGGCCAAGAGCTCAGTCCCTG